CCTGTAAAACTACTTAGTGTCCATGAAGTTCCAACAAACTGCCTGTAAAACTACTTAGTGTCCATGAAGTTCCAACAAGCTGCCTGTAAAACTACTTAGTGCCATGGAGTTCCAACAAGCTGCCTGTAAAACTACTTAGTGCCATGGAGTTCCCAACAAGTTGCCTGTAAACAGTATGTCTTCTTCTTCACCGGATCGGAATTTAGGTGTTTTATACCTGGGAGGGTCAGGTTCGATTTCGATCTCTTCCTACTGTAAACATTACGTTTAAAAACTTGGTTTGGTTGGAATTTCGGACAAAGCTATTCGAGGGCTATCTACGCTAGCTGTCCCTAATTTTGAAGTGATAGACTAGATGGAAGGCAACTAGTCAACACCACCTACCGCCAAATCTCGAGCTACATTTTACCAACGAATAGTGAGATAGACCGTCACATTATACCTCCCCTCCCCCCCTCCCGGCTGAAAGGGCGGGCATGTTTGGGAAAGGGATCCGAATTCGCGACCCTCAGATTGCGAGTCGAATGCCTTAACTACCAGGCCATGTTTTAAAGCAATGAATATATTATAAATGTAAAAACCAATAAGATAATTTACATTTTTAATGTAAAGCACTTTTAAAATACTTAAATTCGGTCGATATACTAATAATTAAGTGGTTACACGCTTACTGAAGTATTAAATTTTTGTAAATTATTGTAGACCTTGCTTTGTTTGTTTGTAGTCACACAATGAGCTATCTGTGCTCTGCCCACTACGGGTATCGAAACCCGGTTTCTAGCGTTGTAATCCGCAGACATACCGATGTCCCACTTGAGAGCATAGACCTTGCAAGTCATCCAAGTGCTACATTTTTTTTGGGGGGGGTGTTGTTTGATAATATCAAAAACGATAAGGAAATGCTGGTTTACGTTATCTTTTCATTAGACGGCGGTAAGTTTATGGATTTACAACGCTTAAATCCGAGGTTCGATTCCCCGCGGTGGACACAGCAGACGACAGTGTGACTTTGTTCTAAAACAAACTCACAGTCAACCATATTTGTTGCGTAAAAGTATGTATGTATGCCTAAATACATAATACATTGTCGGTGAGGGTAGCTCGTCACGTGATTAAGGGTATGACGTCACCTTTAAAGTTCCAGTGTCATCGTCTGTCAGAAAGTTTTGTAAACACTGTCAAAAACTTCCACGATGGGGGTTAAAAATTAGGAGACAGTTAACATGGCCAGGTGGTTAGGGCGCTCGACTCATAATCTGCGGGTCGCGGGTTCGAATCCCCGTCACACCAAAAACATGCTCGCCCTTTCCCCCGTGGGGGCGTTATAAAGTGACGGTCAATCCCACTATTCGTTGGTAAAAGAGTAACCCAACAGTTGGCGTTGGGTGGCGATGACTAGCTGCTTTCCCTCTAGTCTTACACTGCTAAATTAGGGACGGCTAGCGCAGATAGCCCTCGTGTAGCTTTGCGCGAATTAAAAAAAAAAACATTATATCTTGATGTATATGAAACAAAAGTATTAGTCGTAATCGTAAACAACTTTCAAATACAGAAACATAATTACACAATATGGCATAACCTATCCAGGATGAAATTTTATCTAAATATATATATATATAGCTCTTAATAATAATATCAGTACATACTCTATTACGTAAATTTAACGTTTTATTCATGCCTTCGGTTTACCAAGACTTATCAACTTAATATGATATGTACGTATAGGCCTACGTAGCATCATGATAGATGAGTTTGAGATTGAGCATGTTTCTGCCGACTTCCGGGTAGTGTAGGGGATTAGAAAATCAGGTTACTTAGGTGACGGAAGCGATATTTTTCTATTACTGACACAATTCAGTAGTTTCCAACGTGTGGGTGTTAGGTGTTTGTCTGGATTGGTATGTTGTCGATGGCGTGAAATCGAGTTTAATTTCAGTTTTTCATACTGGTGATAGGTATATTATAAATGTAAGAAAACTGTAGATGGCGCCTCGTTACCCTAACAGTCCTAAATAAAAAATTTGATCAGAAATTATTGATAAAGAATAGATTATTGGTTGCTGCAGCATTTTAGTTGACGTCATTAGTTTGCTTTTTAAAGTACCATTCAGTAAGTCTCTGGCAGTAGCGCCTCGTTGTGGGGAAATTATAAACTAAAAGCATTTTCTCGATGGTCGTACGTCGAAGAACGAACATATTTCAACTGAACCATTCTTTTAAATGTATCTGCTTATCAAATATCTGCCGTATTATATTGAAGCAATGCATTTTTTAGGAATATCATACATGAGATTTTAATGAAAATGCGTTAACAGAGAACTAACGTATTGTATTTTTTGTTCGTTATATGAGACAAACCCAAAAGGTTTAATTATAGCTATTCGGTTCTAAGTTAGTGTATTAAACCGACACTATCGGTGCACGTGTGAGTGTAGACTTGTGTACGTGTACTTAACGTCCCTGATAAGTTGATATTGTCTGAATTTGATGTTACAAATCTGGTGTGGATCTTGAATGTCTTTTGTCACATATCACTGCTTTAAGTTTGATAATGTGTGTTAGGGTTTTCAATGTGATGTCACTCCTTCAATTTGATAATTTGTATTGGATTTCAGTGTCATTTGTAATTTTCCATCGCATATCACTGTTTTAAGTTTGTTAACGTGTGTTAGGGTTTTAATGTCATTTGTAATATATCACTGCTTTAAGTTTGTTAACGTGTGTTTGGGTTTTAACGTCATTTATAACATATCACTGCTTTACGTTTAATAATGTGTATGGGTTTGCATGTTAGTTGTAACACATGACACTGTTTTGAGCCTGATAATCTGTATTGGGTTTTAATGTCATTTGTATCACACATCACTGCTTTAAGTTTGATAAGGTGTGTTGGGTTTTACATGTCACCATCATAAGTCTATGTGTGCGAGGTTTCAATGACATTTGAAATACCTGCCATTGTCTTAAGTTGGGTTTTCAATGTCATTTGTAACACATGCCGTTGTTATAAGTGTGATAAAGTATTCGTTGGATTTTTGAATATTTGTAATACATTTCACTGCCTTAGTTTTTATATGTGTTGGGTTTTCAATGTCATTTGTAACACATGCCGTTGTTATAAGTGTGATAAAGTATTCGTTGGATTTTTGAATATTTGTAATACATTTCACTGCCTTAGTTTTTATATGTGTTGGGTTTTCAATGTCATTTGTAACACATGCCGTTGTTATAAATGTGATAAAGTATTCGTTGGATTTTTGAATATTTGTAATACATTTCACTGCCTTAGTTTTTATATGTGTTGGGTTTTCAATGTCATTTGTAACACATGCCGTTGTTATAAGTGTGATAAAGTATTCTTTGGATTTTTGAATATTTGTAATACATTTCACTGCCTTAGTTTTTATATGCGTTGGGTTTTCAATGTCATTTGTAACACACGTCACGATCTTTGATCGTGTGTTTGGGGCTTTGAATGTCATGTTTAACAGATATCAATGCCTTAAGTTTTAAAACATGAGTCATGGAGTTGGCAGTGTGCGTTGATGAGATTTTAAAAGTAGGGTTTACTTAGAATATCACGTAAAGCTACGCGAGGGCTATTTGCGCTAGCCGTCCCTAGTTTAGTAGTGAAATACTAGAGGGAAGGCAGCTAGTCATCACCGCCCCCCGCCAACTCTTGAATTTCTCTTTACCAACGAATAGTGGGATTGACCATAAAATCATAAGACCTCATAGCTTAAAGGTTGAGCATGTTTGGAGGAACGATTATTCGAATCTGCGACCCGCAGATGGCGAGCCGTGCGCTGTAACCACCTGGCCACGCTGGGCTCTTAAAAGTAGGGATGAGTGTGCTTAGTGTCGCTTTGAGGGGAAAAATAAAGAAATAATGTCGTTGTAGTACGTCTTTAAAATCGGCGTTCAATGGAAATATGCCAGTGTTTTTTTAGTTAATTTCTCTCAGAATTAAGATAATTAGTTGTACGTCACAGTTTTCTTTGTATACATAACACACAATGTGGATAAGCTATCATTGTTGGATATACAAGACTGTTTAGTTTAAGAGTTATTATTTAGTTTATTTAGTGATTTAATATTTAAAGATTATGTAGTTTTCATAACAAGAGTGTTAAAAGTTAATTATTTTCAAATCAATACTTATTATAAGTTTCGTTACGTAACTCTGTACGAGTCGTACTCTGTGTTTGCAGTTTATTTGTTGTACTAGGCTTTTGTAATATTGCTGACGTCATCTTACTCGAAGCGTCTAAGTTTTTCTCGTTACGTGTAATATTGTTACTACCAGAGGGCTAGATATTTCTATGTTTTTCTGTCTCGTGTTATAAAAGCGTGGAAATAAAGAAAGTTAAGTTAAAGTAAAGTTAGTGAAAGTAAAAGTGAAGTTAACCATAACAGGCTATTTATAAAGTGAGTTTCACAGCTTGTATTGTAACAACATAGATGGAGAAGAATAATTCGTTTTGTCAAATGGTGTTCTAAAGTCATTGAACCAACCTATGTGGACTTTTGGCGTAAAAGAGAATTATTTTAAGCTTTGGATATAACTGTGGCAACGTAAGTGAATTTATCACTGATTGTATTGTGGTAATAGAGGAGAGAAGAAATAATTCGTCTTGTCAATTATATTCTAAAATAATTGTTTATTTGTTTCTGAATTTCGCGCAAAGCTACACGAGGGCTATCTGCGCTAGCCGTCCCT